ACAAAGAGTTGGATGTTGTCTTGATATTTGTTAAATTTTATATATTGAGAGATATATTAAATAAAATAATAAATAAATGTTTAATATAGTTTTTCCAGAGTGACTTGAATTTTGCATGATTTAGTTCGTTAGATTGTTAACATCATTAAAGAAGAACCTGTCCAGAGGACCTATACAATTTTTTTTCCTTTTGATCTTGCACTATATTTCTTTTAGTTGAATTTTATATGCTTTGGTTGAGATTTTATATTGATGTTAAATCTTTTAAGCTTTTTTTGTTAAAGAATTGACTCTAGAGTGCATATTTTGTGTCCATGAAAAAACTATTGAAGAAAATATTACAATATTAAAGAACATTTCTTGTTAATTTGATGAAAACATTTTAAATATCCAGTGCACTCACATCAGAATAACTTACAGATTTGCTGTTAGAATAATCGATTAATCGAAAAAAATAATCGTTAGATTAATCGATTAGAAATTAATCGTTCGGTCCAGCACTAAACTTGATACAATGCTGCTGACTTTTAATAAAGATTGGTTTGCTGAATCTCATGTTTTAAATTAATCAATATCAGGCTTATCAGGATAGATGCATGAAAAACAATTTTTTTATGTTTATGAACTTGAAAAATATGATTTCCCTAAATTTAATAGACTTTGCTCCTTACTAATAGTTATGCTTCGGTGTTTGAATAAAACACTCCAACAGTCTAGTAGTTCAACAGAAAAAATGCAGAATACGACACACAACCACTACAAAATACCACACAAAATTCACCCGGTCCCCAAAAATTTAAGCATTAAGCATATAAAAATCTTACAAAACATGACTCAATTGCTATTTCTCAAATATCTCAAGCTAACATCTTCTGATGTCACAAGCAGCACTGTTTTGTTTTTTGCTACATTTAGCAGGGATCTTTCCAATATGTGGTTAGCTGCACATTAAATAAAAATATCCACTTTACACCTAAGTAATTCTGCAATGAGGTAAAGAAAGCATTTCTTCATAGGATAATGGATATTTAGGTACAGTACAACCTCCTTAAATTTCTTACTCACGTGCTGAATTAAACCTTTTTCATGAAGTAAACGAACCTTTCCTATATGTGTCAATTTACTGTGAAAATTAGACTTCCTTGTCTGCCTTTCAACACCAGAATGTCCCACATCAKTGACAATTTACAGACATGGGTCAAAAATCTATTCTGTTTTCTCAGCTAGCACTATGTTTACAGTCATCTGTCCTCCACTTCACATCTATCTTCAATCTCCTCTGTGGAATGCACAGGCGTTGACCTTTCGAAGCGCTCCGTGTGCTTTTACAGCCCGCTGCAGGGCCTGTCCTTCAGCATGCTGGTTTAGATGGCCCACAGAAAAAGCTGCTATCAAAAGAGCGTGAGAGTGCAGCTTGCTGGCTGAGACACGGCAAGTACGCTCCATTCCACAGCTGAATGTTTAAAAAAAATAATAATCAACTTCCTCTTCAATTTTCTCCAAACTCCTCCCATTTAAATCCTACAGAGACAAGAAAAATGTGCTGAATTCTGGAGTGATAGTCTGCTTTTTCCATCTGTTTTCAAAGCCACATCTGGGCAATGTGAAAAAAAAATACACTGGCTGACTGAACCATTACACTACTCATGATTTAAATAAAAAAAAACATTTCATGTCACATTAAAATAATTTGACTCAAATGACAGAAACTGTATTTTTCATCACGTTTCCAAACAATTGACTTTTAACGTACTTTTGTACTTTACCAAATTTTAGTTATCAGCCCGACTAAAAGCCATATTTAACATGACACACAGCCACTAATATCATTTCATCAAGCTCACCTGTCGTCTTTGTTGATTTGGTCTCCAAAGCCAACAGTGTCTACAATTGTTAGCTTGAGATGGACGTTGCTTTCTTGCAAATCGTAAGTTCGCGGCCGTAAATACACGCCGTTCTGGTAATGGCTGGCCTCTTCATTCTCAAACGTAGTGTTGAAGAGTGTGTTCATTAATGTTGATTTACCAATACCAGTCTCGCCTGTGAATGACAGGAAGGAATGAGATTTATTTACTGTTAAACGTGGATTTTAATTATAGCAGTGCATGAGAATGTCTTTAATCCCAATATATGCAATTTAATCACAGGAAATTAAAATCAGCAGGTCAAAATAGTAATATTTCTGTAAGTTGCAAGACATATATTCTCACTGCGCCAACAGTTTGTGACTCACCTACACACAGAATGTTGAAGCAAAAACCCTGTGTGACCGATTTACTGACCAGCTGGTCAGGAAGGCTGTCAAATCCAACATGGCCGCCCAAGCTGAGGTTACGCTTCTCTTCGTTCTAGGACACGTGAGACAAAATAACATATTAGAAGCTTGGTGGACRCGATCAGGAAAACGTGGAAAATACATTAGTCAGAGGAAAGAAGACTAAACTCGCATTCCTATGCACGTAAACATCAAAGAGCCTCTGTTCAAACTGCAGATGGAATACCCATCAGCTGTCTATGTCATAAGTTAAATATTCAGAGCCTGCAGWGAGGACGAGCTTAAAGAATAATCCAGAACAAGAGATATTTGTACAAAGAAAGATGTACTCAGATGRATGCAAAACACCCAAACCAACTATTTAAGTGATTTACTACTTGTACCAAGTTTCCCATCAATAGCTGGGAATAAAAGTAAATTACAAAACATAGGATGCAGGTTTAGGCCAGCTTTACCACTACAGCCATGTAGAAGCCATTCTATACAATGCACAGCCCCTTATTCTCCAGTGTTTCCCCTACCATTATACAGGCAGGACCCAGATAATAATCGGTCTTTAAAATGTGGTAAATAAATTATTTTCAGTGACTGAGAGGACGTTTTTTTGACAGTTGCATAATTGCATTTTCTAAATGTTATCCTTTATATCTACAAGAGAGTTCTAATTCTTAGAAAGGACATGATTTGAGGTTTTTACTGATATTTTATTCAAAACATCTTACAGAAGTCATAAGAAGCAGGTTTATTTTGAACAAACATTACAAACGTGTTCATTCCTACAAAACTGTCAAATATACAGTGGTTTGCAAAAGTATTCATACCCCTTGAACTTTTTCATATTTTGTC